ATTTTGCATATGCATTCATCATATCTCGGACCAAAAGCCTATTATTTTGGGATTTTATGTCGTATAATTAGCGAGTTATTAATTAATTAGTGATGGGACACAATGTGTCACTATGGAGTAAGAGCGCTGTTTTGGGGATCCCCTAACTTTCGATCGATAAGTCTTCGGTCTCTGACCGATATTCTCGTTTATACATTGCTCTTATGTTTCATATATCATATTTCTAACGATTGGTTGGCGTACTTTTTCGATTTTGTAAGACGTTTAAAGCAGTGGTTCCCAAAGTTGCTTGATCGGAGGGTCGAAATTAGAAGCGGAAGAGACATTCGATGGCCGAGAGAGGATGAAAATCTATATATGTAATTCTAATACTGGTACATATAATTAAGATACAGATATAATTGAATTGTTACGAATATACACGTGCTTAAACTATGATAATGACGTGAAAATTGACGGTATCTAGACGCATAAATGAAAATAATGTTTTCAACTATTTCACTTGGGCCATATTTAATCGTTACGCGGGCTGTAATGGCCTGCAGGCGAGGTTGGGAACCACTGGTTTGGACCAATGGTATTCAACCTTGTTGGCGGGGTGGAATCGCAGTGATACATCCCAGAAAATAGCTGAGCCCCTGTGCAATACTTGTGAGGCTGAAAGAGGAATTCAACCTAACACTGGCAATACGAAATGATCTTCAAAATGTAGCAATTTTAATAATAGGGGAAAATCTAATAAATATTCTTTATATTTAAACATTATACATATATTTAATTTTGAATTTGAATGTAAACTTGTGAAAGCCCTGAATATGGGTGGCGCGGAGTCCTGACTGAAAGTCAATGATTTTAATATCTCTTTGCATATGTCTCTATTCGGATCGAGGATGTGAAAATTAGTGAATGCGTGAAAACTCTCCACACCTTTGAGGAGCCATGGAGTTGTTCTCCAGGGACCACGAGTACAGACCTTCACTTGGTACCATTCCCGATGACTATATTAATTTAAGGTAAATTGACTGTTTAATTCGTTGACGCAAATGCATTTATTCTGTTGCTTTTGTTTGTTGGCCTATTCATATCAAACATAGCAAATAAAATAATTGATCTGAAGCGATAAAAGTTAAACTATGTCCTGTATTTATGCAGGAGAACGGGACGCCGCGAATCGACTACCATTTGTTTGATAATTTGACAGCAATACATTCATTTTTCATTTTAGTCTGTTGACTTTTTTATCAATAAACGTTAAACAACCGATGGGGACAGCTTGAATGAAAAAGCAGAAGGCAAATATTCTGCAAATGTTGAGTTTCTTTGGTAAGGGGAATGGATAATGGAAGTTTAAGAACCACTGTTTCATGTGTGCAACAGCGGCCGCGTCCACCATATTGTTAAGAGGTCTCTGTCTATGAAAGCAATGTAAAAACCATGTAAAAAAAATTAACAAGACCACTAAAAATGGCTCAAATTTATTTATCAATGAGTACTTTCTCATACAAGGTTTAACGTCGTTTCTATGCAAATTGGTAACCGCTGAATTTTGAACGTGTTAAACATGGGTGGTTCTATTTTGGGTTTCCTAAGATTAAAATAGGTGTTTGAATATTTATACTCCGTTGTTTATTACGTGGAATTGTCCTTCTTTGTGTGCGAAAATCATCATTACAAAGAACAAGCAGATAACTAGTATTAGTGATGTCCTTTTAGAAAATGTTCTAATCTTGGCTTCATCCAGTGTGTCACCCGATGTCGAAATGATATCAAGCCCAATGCAACAACAAGTATCACATTGAATGTCATTTGCAAATTTTTCGCCTAATGAGACGACTCGAGTCCACGTGTCGTCGCAGTGTTCGCTCGCTCTTTAAAGTCTAAAATTTCACCTTCTGATCTGTATAAAAATGTGATTCATCCACCCCCTTTTTAGTCTTTAATTTTCACAAAAAAATATGTGGGGCTCGCCAAGTTTGCAACCTATAATTTTGGCAAGCGAGCGACAAAAGGTTGCTGACCCCTGACGTAGGCAATGCCAAACCGGGAAGATTTTGATCCTTCTAAAGCTGACACTGGCAAACTACGCCCGTGTAGTTCCAAAACACAAGCCATCGTATACTAACATGGTAAAAGATTAGATCAATGGTTTTTAACCGGTGTTACGCTTACCACTAGCGGTGCGCTGGAGCTTTTCAAGTGGTACGCGAGCAGCTCTGAATTATTGCAACAATACCTTTTAAGTTGGGTAGAATATAGCGGCAAAGCTTTTCATTATCTTTTATCTTGTATGATACCCAACCAGAGTAAAAAAAACAGTAAACTGGTACGCGATCAGTAAAAGTTTGAGAATCACAGATTAAAGCAAGAGATTGATATAAAAAGGTAACATCAGATAAAATACAGGAGACCTTTCTTCCAAAACAAGATAAGATCAAATTCAAATAATATTGACCGGACAAAATTAGGCGTACAAAGGATATTCGCCAACCAAATTTGTCATCCCAAATTTAAAATTATTTAACCACGAAAACGAAAGAAAATATCGTATTATTTTCTACTCAATAGCGCCATCTGATGCTTGTTCTGTAAAAAGAAATAAAATCATCAAATAACTAGCGCAAAAGCTGCCTTTTGAAAGAAACGCAGATTCTCGAAATGTTGTGGACCAATAGCAATATTAGTAAAAAGTTCATCTTGGGAACTTGTGAAATTTGGACATGTTTTGAGTCCATGCTTCCGAAAACAAATCCCTGGCTAAATAATCCCTTGCCCGACCGACATGGACTAGTAACCGGACGAGAGGCCGTGGTTCGCCATATGGTTAGGCTGTCTTATAGGTTTTCCGATGCCCTATGGTGCGTAAAATATGGTATCTAGTAAAACATTAGGACACGTGTCCGAATTCAATTTCTGTTATCATCATTTACTCTACCTGGATTGTGGCCCGCGCTTTCCATCTTGCATAGGGCCACGCGACAGCGATGGCCTGCCCGCGATAAATATGAGAATAGTATCATATTTTGGAATACCAGGGTATATATATATATAGCCTTGCTCAGTTCAGCAATAGAAAAAAAGGCTTGTAATGAAAGTAATAGAACAGGTTTACGGACCAAGGGCCGAACATTTTGCCTACCGAGACTGGCCATGTAAGTGTGACGTTAAAAGTTACATTTTATGAACAATATTTACAGTGTTACAAAAGCAAACGTGAAAAACTATCAACCACGATTCCAAACTAAATTTAATCTCAACAAATTCATTGAGCTATTTTTAGCTGACATTAGAATTTAGTTTAGTTGTGGTAGCATCAAGCGGGTCAGATTGAATTACCAAATGGACCAGATTTGGCCCGCGGGCCGTAGTTTGCCCATGTCAGTGATAGAATCAAAATAAAGCAAACTGGTTAGTAATCAGGTATATTTCAACTATATACAACCAACCAGGGTAAAGAAAGTGATATTAGGCATCGGTGAAAAACAATATTACAACAATATTACAAACACTAGTCGACGAAGACGTGGAAGCGGCATTTCGTCATGACCCTTCCGTATCTTTAAAGCTACATTTTACACCTTATATTGTTTTACCGGAACACAACATATTATTTTACCTTGTTTAAAACTATTTTGCCCTTCTTGACTGACGGGCCATTTAAGTGTGACGTAGAAAGTTACATTTTATGAACAATGTTTTCAGTGTTACAAAAGCAAAAAACAATAAACCTCGAGCCCAAACTGAAATCACTCGCAACAAATTCATTGAGGTATTTTTTAGCCAAATCATCAAAATTTGGTTTAGGTTTGGTTGTTGCAGCATCAGGCGGGCTAGATTGAATTACCAAACGGGCCGGATTTGGCCATGTCAGCGATGAAATCAACATAAAGCAAACTGTTATAGAGTAGAGTAGAGTTTATTTCAACTATATACAATCATGGTAAAAGAAAGTGATATTGAGTATTTGTAACTATGTTACAGACACTAAGAAACAATAACGTGGTGGCAGAATGTGTTTTTTTAGCCCTTCCGCATCTTTAAAATTACAAATTAAAGCTTATATTTTCTACCGAGTCACAAAATATTATAATACCTTGTGTATAATATACCCACTGAAAACAACTAGCAGGGTAGGGCAAGGTTTTGGATCAAGGGCCAAAAATTTTTCCCCTCTTTTACTGGCGGACCATGTAAGTGTGGCCCGGATTTGGCCCGCGGGCCGTAGTTTGCCAATGTCAAAACTATCGTCATGACATTGGAGATTCCACATGTCTGGTTAAAATCCCGTGCCCGCTACCTCACTCATGTTGTAATGAATTTAGTAGGCAATTCCGAACTGGGAAGATTTCGGTCCATCCGAATAATAGCTATCATATCGTTAGATATCAGTGACTGCTTGTATGGGTTCTAATCCGCAGCCAAAAAGGCTTGAATAATACAAACAGTAACATGCTCTAAATACATTCTTCATAAAACAAAAGGCGCTCCCCTAAGTATGTGCACCGAGATGGCGCACGACCTGAACCCTAACTTGGTACACATACTATGTTCAGTTTGGGCGCCAAAACTTCTGGAGGTCCAAACAAAATTAGTTGAATAATTTTTTTGAACGACTTTATATATGGACAATAAAGAAAATTCTGTGCTCAGAGAGGGGGCTTTGTTCTTACTCTTTCAGAGGTTACTTTTGAAAAAATGTGGGGGTTTTGGTAAGAATGTCTTCTTAGTTTCCGTATAATTATTTGTGTTCGAATTTTCACTCTGGAATTAGAGAAATCTGATTCCGACTGCTGCTAGTTTACTCTGACTCCACAGATAAATCAGACTCTCATCTCAGCATTGAAAGTCTCAATTTTTTCGTTTCCTAGATCTGGGAGTGGGCAATCACTTTTCTGAGTGGGCCAGGTCAGATACTTTACTGGGCCAGATTCTCAAAACCTAATATGAAAAACTATGAATAAAAAGAAAACAGGTAATTTGCAACAGCTAGGCTAACGTTTATGTAATAATAAAAAGCACAATATAACAATCGGGATCATTGTGACGTTATTTTTATCGATATTTTCAATGAAAATTTATATCCATAGAAACTATAGTCATAATTTTAGTTGACACAAATGAAACACTTCATTATATCACGATATTCCATTAACCGGTTTTCACTGTATTCTAATGACCGGTTTCGGACCGCACCATTAGTTGTCGGGCATGTAACATACCTATTGATGCTGGAGTCTTATGTTGGCATTTTAAATCGTCCGAATAAAACTGTTTATTCTAGGGCGGGGGTGGGCAAATAACGGCCCGCAGGCCAGATCCGGCCCTGAAGTAATACTCGATGGTGTGGTCCAAAAACGGATATTGGAATACCGTGATCATAGGCAAATCCCTTGTTTTATTTTAGTTCGGAATAGTTTTCTAAAATGGGGGAACCCGTTGTTAGTGGGAGAACAGAGAACTCGTTCCTAAATTTTGTCCTGACTGAGTATATACAATGCATTAGGCCTTTTAAGATTGTGGAGTTCGAGAATACTAAATATTTTAGTCGAACAGCGATTATGAATCCTTCGGACATAGATTTATTATTGCTTTATAGAATAGGATGATATTTTCGATTTATCCCAGGGGAAGGGATATGAGACGCCTTAATCGTGAAGGAGGAGTCCAGAAACCTCTCGTTGACAGTTAAGTTGATAAAGTATGAGTTTGACATCCACCGATCTTAGTTAGATATCCGTAATGTTTATTATGATTTGGGCATTATCAGTCTTTGGCTTGTAGTAAACGTGAAGTTATGGTTCAATCTCGCATAAATATTTATTTGCGTATGTACAATCTTCATCGTTCAGCTCCCAATCAAAGCTTTCTACCATTTCAACGCAATCTTGATCACCGTTCCAGTTGTTAGGTTGACCACCATGCCATGGAGTAGAACCTGCAGTTGCCCTTATACCATCTTCCCAGGTAAACGTGTTTTCCTCTTGAATGTCGTTCAAACCAATCCAAGTGTCATATCTTTCAGATTTGACCAAGGGTAAGATTTCTCTGAAAACAAATACATTGTCTATGCCAAATGTTAATTCAGCACGCTTCTGAGTTGGGACTAGAAATTGCCAAAATCAAAATTAATTTTTGCTTAGTATTCGAGCACTTAAGTATACAAATTCTTAGATATTTTCAAAGAATATAATACAAGCATAATGGGCTCTGGATCTGAAATATCTTTCCAAATTGTGGTTAATTATACCTTTAATCGGGCATAACTTTAGAGACTATGGTATTTGGGAATCTGAAAAATCGAGTCTAAATCGTTATATGAGAAGTACTTGTTTAAATTATTCTACGACTATATCGGATCCCGGTTATGAAATTCTTATTCATGCCAATAGCTCACCTGCGAACGTCTTCATCTCGATATCCCGCCGATGCCAGTTGGCCTCCGTATCTTTTACAATTTGCCTTCGCCTCTGCGTAAGTGGACCGGTCGTAGAATATTTTGTAGTAATAGTTGTTCCGCGCTTGATACCAAGTGCTTATGTCTTCGATTCCATGTAAAGCCAATGTTCTAGTAAGATTTCCCAGCTGCTCTCGGATTTGTTGAATTACTGTGAAGTGAATTTAGACTCTTTTATTATCATGTCTTCGTTATTCAAAAAGAAATAACCTCAGTAACTTGTTATGAATATAAAAAGCTTATATGCTTCCATATTCAAGTAATATACATGAATCATAATATTATGCTTATCCCATTACAATACGAGAATAATAATTGATAATGAATCGCTCAGAATATTTCAGTTTTGTTACTCGATGTTTTTATTCGTTTTTCCTCGCCAAAATTTACCTGATGTCAACCCTTCAACAGCTGTTTCGATTTCTTTCAAGTTTGATAGAGTTTGTCCGGATGCTTTAATGAAAAAAGGAACAATGATCAATAGTATTCAAAAGATGAAAAACTTTGTAGGACAAAAATAATTTGTTATAGACGACTTTAGCGTGAATGATAGCTTCTACATCGGTTCTAACCTCATATGCATAATTTAACTAAGCATTAATCAATTGTCTCATTGGTATTGGACACGAAATGTAAATATGAAACATTCTGTATGTTGTTTTCATTGTTACGAAAAAAATGCTATTCTCATCAAAACAGGACCAATTGCTTTCAAGTTTTCGCTTGTTAAGGATTGTATTTTTAGAAGGCTATTATTACATTTATTTAAAAAAAATTTGTTGACTTTATGAGATTCGTTTAATATGTGCTATGACGCCATCCAAAATTGCGCATCTTGTGGCGGTTTCGCGGTCGCGTTAGTCGTGAAAACTGCCGCATCGGTCTAATGTGTCAGATTGCATACCGTACTACTTCGTGTAATATATTTGAGCATGACTCTAATGTTTAATCAGAGGAACTGTCAACATTTACCTGCTTTCAAATCCTGTATGTCCTCGCTAGATTTCTCAACAACCGGACCAATTTGAGTCAGCCTTGCTTGTATCTGTCCGGAAATATCTGAACAAAAATTATTCTAGATTGAAATACCATTATCTTAAAATAATACAATATACATTTTTATCAATATTACTTTGTTTAATGATACCGGTAAACCAGTGGCGTAGCAAGACTCTCGTGGGTCCCCCCGCAAAAATATTTCGTGGAAATGACCCTGAAAACTCAAGGACATAAGCTAAAACAACGCTTTTTTTTCGTCAAAAAGCATAACATGTCGCTATAAAAAGAAATGATAACCTAAAATTTGCTGTTTATTTTGGTTACTTTAATTTTTTCATACATTCTTCCTCTTCTGCGTTTTTGTGCGCCACTGAGAGGCTATCGAGTTGTTTGATTTTAACATCATTCTGACAGCCTTCGTAATTTTGCCGGTGCGATCAAACCACAAGATGCCGAAAATCGACGACTCCCTTGCATTGTTACGTAACAAAACGATTTGAGCAGAACTAACATCAACGTTATAAGATGTGCATTACTTGGTTTGCACTGTAGCTTTTGGTTTGCGGCTTAAATTTCTAATTTCTAACCGCCCATTTGCGCTGTGGGCCCTCCCGCGACCGCGGGGGTTGCGGGGGTGGATGCTACGCCACTGCGGTAAACTGTTTTATGCGCTTCGAAATTGTATATTTGAACAAACTATTGGCATAGGAAGCGCAGAGGACCTACACAAAATAATAGTGAATATTCTTACAAACGACATCATAAACTACAATAAATATTTAAAAGAAAATCATATGCTTAATTGGCAAACACATACCATTGAAATGTTCTTTTATAGTTCCATTTACGATTTTGTAATTGACGACACCAGGAGGCCCCACGGGACCAGCTTTTCCCTGTTTAATTCTGTGACCTCTTCTGACGGAATGCTGGTCCCGGTTAGTGCAATACAGATGCATTTCCTGATTCTAAAAAATGTAGATTATCAATAAAATGTGAATATATGAAGCTTAATACGGTTATTAGTGGAGTGTGGTCAACTCTTGTTGCAACATTATTAGTAATCAATGGGGTGTGCTTTACAGGGGCGTGCCAACTGTTCCGTTGACCGGGGCGAGTTTCTGATAAGGATCCCCTCATATTCCTCCTGGGTGAGAAATATTTTATCCTAACGTTAAATATGACGATGATGCTAATTTCCGTTTCTCCGGTTGACTTCCTTTTGTCTGAGAGGAATTCAATACTTTAGAACAGAGGTTGCAACCTGTTGCCCGCGGGCAAAATGCGGCCGTCAAGTAAAATTGTTCGGCCCGCAAAGAAGTGACAATTTTGAATGATTTGCTGCCCGCCAACAAGTTTTTAATAAAATTTGGTACGTGCTGGTAATTCCAATCGAGTTGCGTTGCGAAGACTAATTTATTATCTATCTATTTAATCACAATGCCCTAACAGCTAGCAAAATAACGCATGTCACGAGATCATATTGCTGAAGGCATATGCATAGCCGGGGTGGAGGGTGCGCCAATATAACTTAGGGGCATAGACGTAGCTGGGGGGTGACCGCGGCGCTTAATTAGATTGAATAACTTCGATAGAAGACTAGAGGAATCTTTAAGATTGTTAGGAATCAGTGGCCGCTCGTACCTGGACTTGTTTGTACACAAAGGTGCGAGTGAGTGTCGTATAAAAAAATAAATTTTCTCCCCCTCCCAAAAATAGTCTGGCTACACGCTAGAAATCAGTCTGGAAAATGGCGAATATATATTTTCTGCGGTAAAGGTCGTGAGTCGTGACATTTATCTTTGTAACTGTTTATGAAGCTCGTAGCCGAACATGGCTCTGTACATGCTGCCACTGATACGTAAGAAAAATGCACTATTTTTTGTAGTATGTGTACCAGGTTAAGGTTAGGCCATGATTTTATTCCAGTTTTCTTTATTTTAGTTCTAAATATGATTTTGGGACTGTCTGTATTAGCCAAGTGAATATACCCCCTGCCCATAGGTTTCAGACCCTTTACATAACTTGATGTGAAGTAGGCAGGCAAAATTAGTTACCTTCATATTGGTACACATACCTAATTTTAGAACGTCGAAAAATGCACTATTTTTAAAATTAATGGAATCTGGTTGCCGAATGGGTGCTCCCGTTGTATGTGCACCAAGATGGCGCATAGCTTGAAGCCTAACCTGGTACACATACTCTTTCTAGGTTGTGCGCTATCTTGGTGCACATTCTAAGCGAGCACCACCGAATGCCGCCCAATTACGCGGTTAATTTAAGCACGCCACGACGGCGAAGGCTCTAATTAAAATCCCGTACAATATTGGCTGTAATCATTTGTTCGAATCAGTTGAAAATCACGCATTAGTTTGAATAGTGTAATATAGTCGAGGCTGGCCCATTTAAGCTTAGATGCAATATTAATAAAAGAGAGAACAAAAAAAAGATTAAAAAGAAGTGTTGAAGGAAAAAGACATTCCTTTCGAGTGCCACTACATTTATATTTAACAAGTACTAACCCACAACATTTGCTATTACCGCCTGGTATCTCGTTCGAGTTGAGTTAAAGTCCTAATGGGTGGCGCGTGGAACAGGCAGTAAAGGAAAGAAATGCGAAGTGATATTAACTTAGGAAAATAAACAGAAAGATAAGTTTTCAAGTGGAAGTTGGGAAGTATTTTCAAAATTTCTGATTACGTATATAATTCGGCAAAATCTGACCTCGCGAAATATTTAAGACAGTGTTTCCATTTACAAAACTCTGCATTATCAATTATGAGAAAATAATTTTTCAAACAAATATTACAATTGTGCCAAAGTAAATACAATTAAAATGTCTATGATCCTTCCAATATACATAATAGTCACGTAAATATTACCTGCAAGAATGCTTTTACCGTAGATAATATGTAAAAGACCCAAAGAATTATTTTAACATTTAACAAACCTAGAACAACATTTTGATAACTTAGTATACACGACACACAATATATTATCTATATACAAAACACATCTAGTATATACAGCACTCCTCATTATATTTCTCTCTCGGCTACCATTTTTTCGTTACCTTATCGGAATACGGGTGGACCAAAAATAGATCAACAGTTATTAAATTACTAACTATAGATAACTGTTTTACAAATTTTGGCCCACCATGTATATATTCTAAGAAGCTCGTATTGCTTATTTTGTTACCCTAGTTCTCTCAGAATATCGTTGCACACATCAGAAATGAACCCAACAACCCTATTCATGGGAACTTGACTGTGTTAAAAGTTTTGATTCGCATGCTAGCATGCGGGTTTCACTGCAAATGGCTCTGTATAATAATATACTCTTATTCTGGGCTTTAGTAGAAAGGTATTGTAATGAATAGATATCTGAAAACCGATGCGACTACACGTACAGGCTTTTATTTTTATTTGAATTCTATGCCCACGCATCTGAAACGACCAACTAGTTTGCATTCCCATATTCGACCTGGACGGACGCGTTGTTCACCACACAGTCAAGATAAATATGAAATATCGCATTTTATCCTGAAAATCAGAGCATGCCTAATTGAAAAATCGTTTTTATACCCATGTAACTTATTGTTGAAAAAGCAGAGCGCCCATTTTTTTCGAATGAATTTAAATTTTCGCCGCTCTGTCTAAAACTTAAGATATAATAAGCATTTTCTGAACTATTTTTACAAATGTTACAACGTAAGTAAAAAGCGGAGATAGATGTCCTACTTGTTATAGAAAGGGAATTTGACAGGCTGCAGGTGTCGGGTTTTCCTGTATACCAAAGCGGCTGGGCTCTTGACCTCCCACTATATAATAGCCACATACACGGTATCCCACGCCTGCGAAAATATAAAACATCTAATAATTATAGCATTCTTTAAACAGCAAGCCAAAACAAACAACCTCCTGAGAATCGAGTTTCAAACTTTAAATATTTTTTCTCTCGACTGATTTATCATCGCCTCTCCAATATATTGTAAAAGGATTGCAATTCTTCCCTTTTTAACACAGTTCTCTCATATTAACTTCGTACACATCAGAAGTGAACAAAATAAGAAGTACTTTATGAGAACGATGTTAAAAACCTTAGATAACCCCTAGATATCTGCACACCAATGTGACCGCACGCACGAGG